TAATAATAATAATAATAATAATAATAATAATAGTAATAGTTATAATAATAAAATAATTTTATTTATTTGTTTCCTTCTGGTTTAGTCATAGGTAGGAACTTTTGTTTTAGTATTTTATCGTGCCTGATTCGAAGGTAGGATTTCCTACAATTTATCGATTATATGTTTATACGTAATTTTTTCGTTTTATCACAATTGTTGGAACGTTATTTACAAAGCAGCTTTTTTTAAGGAATTTTATAAGGGTGATGTAACGCCGTATAAACCACATCGTTTTTTAAATTTAGTATGGACGCACGTGAAGCATCTGGCTGGATATGAGCAGCAAGACGCCCATGAATTTTTTATAGCTGCTCTTGACGTGCTTCATCGCCATTCAGGTGATTTGCTGAAACAAAGTTTTGTTGAGTATAGTTGGCTTCTGGTGTCAAATAAGATTTTTTCGTAGTTCACTTCAGGTAGCTCACTAACTGCACCTTCCTCTTGCAACTGTATCATCGATTGGATTTTCACAGGGAAATTGCAGTCAGATCTTACATGTTCGTCATGCGGGTAACACCGATTTAAATAATCTGCTATTTCCTCATAAATTCGGTAAGTGCTTTCTCAACTTGATAATTTCATTTTTTTAGGCGGGTGTCGACCACGGTTGACCCATTTTGGGATATTTCTCTTGATGTTGGTTCTGAGTCTTTGCGTAATTCTACAAGCAGTGATTCTGAAGTGTCCTTAGAGGACTGCCTTCGCCGGTCTTTCATTTATTTACCTGACACTTAATATTTAGTTTTTTACACTTTCGCCTCTCAACTTAATATAATGTTGTTACTACTTTGGTTTTAATTCATGGTCGTTGAAGCTGACAAAAAGTAGATGTTTCTGAGAAAATTTTTACGTTTGGCCAAAAGTCTTTGTAGCCTCACTGTCTTTACAGTTATGTTCGGCCAGAACAGCTTGGTAGTGCTGCAAAAATCAAATGTAGTCAGTGCGGAACGTACGAAGAATCTACAAAACAGTTAACATTGCAAACTCTGCCCCTGGTTGCTTGTTTTCATCTGAAACGATTTGAACATAATTCTAAGCAGAGGAAAAAGATGGCTACAAAAGTGATATATCCACAATACATTGATCTAACTCCGTATACTGCTTCTTATCGTGAAAGATGTGCGAATCCAGATCATTCAAGCTCTAGTGTCGTGACAGAGTTGTTGACCAGGAACAGGAACAAGTTAATAAAAGCTTTTTTAGTGTCTCCCTAACCTGATTCTTTGCTTTTATTGTCTTAAATTTTTTGAAATTTTCCTCACAGGTATCCAGTTCAAAAATGCATTGAAATAGTGTTTTTTTATTTGTTGAAATCATTTAATAAGTTTTGGATGGTAAGACGTTCTCTAAAACTTCGTTTTATGCAGATACGAGTTATTTGCTGTTGTTAATCATGACGGAACCATGGAGAGTGGCCATTACACATGTTTTATTCGTCATCAGCACAATCAGTGGTTCCAGTGTGATGATCAGGTTATATCGAGAGTTCCAGTTGAAAAGGTGTTGGATTCACAGGGATATTTGCTTTTTTACCACAAATCTCATCTGGATTATTATTAATTGTTGGACCTTTGGGTTTTAGAAGTGCTTTTCACATTTGCTTACGGGTAGTCTTGTTCGCTTGAGCCATTTTATTATTTCAACCAGGCATGACTGTTAAGATACAATGGGATGCTTGGGGTCTCCGAATTTCATTTTTCAAAAGATCTCATCATACCTCATTTCCTACTGTTGTCCTACCTTTACACCACTGTACGGCATAGTTTTTGCCGCAGTAATCATTTTTTTTATTGCTACCAGCTTCTTAAAACGTCTTACTTAGCGGGTTTACCCTGGATTCTTTCAAAAAAATACTTTTAATCTCGTCTAAGTTACTGGCACTGAACAGATTATCAATTTAATAAGACCAGTTATTAGTTACTCTATAAAATGCAACTTTTTCTTTCTAGGATAAAAACGTTTTGAATTCAAATTTTTTGCATTGTCCCGTTATTACGGGTTTCCCAAGTGTTATAATTATCCGGTGGAAATGCACTCAGTTATTCCGTATGATTTCAAATGTTTTTTTTTGTGCTTCAATTTGCTTCTATCTGTATAAATAGGCATTTAGAAAGTTGTAATATTTTTTTCATTCTCTGAAGAATGGAATTAGGGCAAATTTTTGAGAGAGGTGAATACACCATTTTGGTTATATATTTTTTTCAAGTATTTGAGTGTCAATGAGTCAATATGTACCGGTTAAAAAGAATTAAGATAGGTAAAAAAAACCAAAGACATTTGGTAATGCAGTAATGATGGTGTGCTGTTTTCAAGAGGTGCTGGAGGGTCGGAATTGAAAACTGCTAATTTTTAAAAAGGGTTTTAGTTGTAGCTTGGAGGGTTGATGTGATTGCATCGAAAAGTATTTAACTGCATAGAAGTGTAAGTAACACCAAAGGATCAAAATTAAAAAAAAAAAATGTTAACTGATAGCACCTTTTGAAATGCGGTACTTGGAAACTTGTTTTTGATTAGGAGATCATTGCGTAGAAAGGTTGTTAAGAATGGTGGAAAATACTAAACGGTAGTTTTGTTCTTTAAGACGAAGTTTTTTTTGTAAGCAAGTTTTTTAAGAATTGTTTACTAGTGAGTTTAACCTGGTTGTCATGATTTGTCCACAGATTGTTACTCGGTAAATTATTGTTTTTGATGTATTGTTTGTGTCTAAGCTATTGATTTTTCATATTTGGGTCAGTGTCATCGCACCGCTTTCTTTTTCTTTTTTTTTTTTTTAGCCTGTTTACTGTTCTGCAAAGTAGCAGCGTGATTTCAAGTGTACTCGGAATTTTGCGTATGGCAGTTGAACAGCTTAAATAAAATTAAATTTTTTGGCTGAAACTCCTGTTGCTGAAGTCACTCAAGGTTCATCGCGATACCACTGGAGTGCTTGCTTTGTTTATTTTACAAAATGGAATTTGAGTCTAAAAACTTTGCAAAATCGATCTCAGCGAGTATCAGACTGTGCGCGTAATTGTCATAAACTTTAAGAGTTGGCACAGGTCTTCAGGCGCCGATTATGTGCGCTTTTAATTTAATGTTACTTAAAGTTCTTGCTTCATTAAAAATATTTCCTTTTTTAATTTTTTGAAAAGCTGGGCAACGTTTGAGTGCAGTTCTGGTACGCATCAGGTAGTTTTCATGGTTCTTATTATTCTTTTTTTGGAAATGCCAACAGAGTGTCGTTTTGGTTACAAATCTTCTGGTAGAAAAAACCTTGAAATTTTCTAGCGCCTCTCTCTTTTGATCTAATTTTTGCTAATTCTCAAAGCCGAAGGATAAAACTATTCAGTAATGATTTCATTTTAATGGAATTGCTGATCATCTCGTCCACTGCTATAAATTACTCTTTGTCAAACAAATAAGTGAAGGTGAGTATGGACCTTTTTTGACGGGAAATCGTCAGCAGATTATGAGAGAATTCTCTTTCCAAGTTTCTTTTATTGCTTTAACTTCAAAAATCGATTTTGCTCCAAAACTGTTTGGTTTTCTTTCTTTTTTAACTGTTAAAGGAGTTTTTGTTATGCACAACAGAAAACGGTTGTTTTAGATCTACTCAGAGGCGTGAACAATCATTTAAGGCATGAACCACTTTCTAAGGTCTTGGCATCTTTGTTGTGTGTCCTGAGCAGTTCAGAATTCTTCTATAAGAAAGAAATTAATGTTGGGCATTTTGCTAATGATGGCTGTTAAGTCGGAGTCACCAAATGAGTGTGAAAATTTTGGAAATTTCAAGTAATAAGCTGTTTTCTAACTTTGAATAGTTAAGGAATGAGGCTATAGCAACCTTCAGAATGAGAAGATGGGATTTTTGAAAGTGATACAAAAAGCAAAACAGCGGAAATGATTAACACGTATGCAAGTGACTGAAAGTTTGATGATTTCTGAGCTGAACACCTCAAATTATATATGCGTAACAGTTTAGTTCATTCAGACGTCTGATTCTGGTGAAGAACGAAAAAGTCTTTGAAATCGCTTACCTAACAAGGTTCACTAAACAAAGTCTTTGAGAACGTATGTCGCAATCGTGCTTTTTGCGAGTGGATCCCTTATTTTTGATGAGGGAATGTAGTTCTCACTTTGGCTACGATATCGTGTCCTTGTTTTTGTATACTTCCATTTTCAAGAATGGACATACCGGTGAGAACAATTGAACAGAGAATTCAAATGTCTATTTTGCACATATGAAAGTTGATTTTTTTGTTAATCGGATCAAGAAATTCACTTGTACTGGTAATTATTCTGTAGCTCAAACGGAAATTAAGGCAGTGACAACTGGATTTTGTTCAATAAAAGTATGATGAATGGCCAAGTGGAAATTTTTAAGTGAAAAGACAGGATAGCTGGATAGATGCTGATGTGCAAGCGAGCCTTTGAAACAGATACCGATTTTTTTGCAGAGAGTAAAGGAGGTGAGGAACAGGGTGTTCCTCTGTCTTCTCACTGAATGAAAGTAGTCTGACGACATACTGAAACAAGTCGAAAGTCTTACAAGAAGAGGAATCAAAATTCACAGAAATAAAGAGTTCGCTTAAGGTAGCCGTCACCTATTTAACGTACCCGTTATCGTTTCCACGCAGCTCATTAATATAAAACAATCAGATGTTAAGTAACACAATAATTTAGTCCATTTCTACTGGAAGGGAAATAAATGTGTAACTGCCGAGATTTTATGCAAAAATTATGTTTTTTTTTTTATTTGCGGCTTGCTGGAATTAAGAGATTTAGGCAGGTAACTTAGATTTCTTGGTCGTGAATAAGCGTGCTGTATTGATAAATTCTGTACAACTGATAGTTGTTAATCTTAATTTTGAATGAGCTATAAATCTAACAGTCAGTAATTCTTAAATGTATTTATCTAACTGGTTAGTTTAGAACTGCATAGCATATAAAAGCATAAAGTATTCGTAACAGTCACTTAGGAGTTTTAGTATAAATTATTTTTTGATAGTGAGTGTAGATTTATACTTTATTAGATTCTAATCTGTAGAGTTGTTGGTAATCGTATTTCGTTTTATAGCTGTATCAGTTTTTGAAACTTTTAAAGAATTTCTGAGACGTTTATGTATTATTAACAGAGTGATTATTAATGTTACTTCATAAAGTTAGAAGTTTTTATAAAAGGCCTGGGAATACCGCGTGGTTATCTTTTTGTTCTTTTTGTCTGAAAACAAATGGAAAAAAGAAAATGACTCTTCAACTATTTAATTAGTGAAAAAAAAAAAACATCATTCGATTGCTCCTTTCCGGTGAAACAAACGACATGACACTTGTAAGAAGTTTCTTTACGGCGATGAGTGAAGAACCGTTCCTGAATCAAACTGTTAATTTTTTTGAGATATGATGTCTGTATGGTTATAGGGAAAGTAAGTTACTGCTCCTGAGCAAATATGGCTTTTCAAATTTTCTTCCCAGAAACAGATGCCCAACTGACGATAATTATGTCTGTTTTATAATTTGCAAAGGGCTTCACCTAAAACAAGTTTGTCGAGCATGGTTACACGGTAATAGCTGAAGCATACCGTCAAGAACTGGGAAAAGCATTCAAATTATTGGAAAAAGTTATTTATTATTGGAAAAAGTCCCATAACTTTTTAGAAAAATGTTCATTTAACTTTTTTTATTTCACATTAAGTGGAAACTAATCTACACTTTTTCCTATATGACTGCTATTTTTATGAGGTTCTGGATTCATATGTCTGCTGAGAAGTCTATCAGAATCGAATGACAAACAAGCTGTGTTAAGGATTTTTTTTAAACTGAGAAATATTACTCGCATCAGACTGAGAAGTACTCATTAGCTTAGGAAGGGAATATATGTGAATTACAGTTTCGAGAAAACCTGCAAAACTGTACAAACCTGCAAAATTATTGGAAACAACAAAAAATTATGACAAATTTGCAACATTCTACTGAAGCATTCGTAGCGTAGACGAAACTATTCAGGTCTAAAGCAATAACGTTGATTATATCCAAATTTAGGCTCATTAACTCTGGGATAATACTCAATGTTGTTTTTCAGCTGTAGTTTTTAGCGCAAAATTTTATAACTACCGAATTCTCCAGTGCACAGAGCAGAGTTTATCTGACTTGAGCCTAGCTATATCATCAGTAAAGCTACTCAATGTATCGGAGCTCTTAGAAAGAAACAATGACGACAACTTTGTTGTCTGTACTCGTACAAGTATCTAATGATGTTCTTAAAACACCTATTCTGTCAGTAAATTATAGTTTTGTTTTCCAGAACTAGATTTAAACTATAAAGATTTACAGTAGTTTGCTAGCTATAAGATATGGGTAAATGAGGATCCAATAATAATGATTATGATAACAATAGTACAAAGAGAAGAAGCAATTTTCTCCAGCAGACGAAATTAAGATTAAGGAAAATCATTGATGAAAAAACCTCTCATATGTAAAAAGTTGTTAAGATTGTAAAATTTTACTTATTTATTATGGCTACCAGAATGGCGGCGTCGTATCAACATCAGAAATGGAAAAAAAAAATAATTTTTAGTAAAAAATTTTTTCTGAAAAAAATCCGTGCATTGTTTGTATTAATAGTTTAAGGGTTTCCTTGAAAAGAAAAAATTAATCCTTGCATGATCCAAATGCTCAATAACTCTGCGAATGGTGCATCTTCCAAAGCACTGACTGTCGAGAGTGAAACTAAGTGAAACTGCGTCAAAATCAAGAATTTTTATCG